CACCGCCCGGAGTGAGGCCCGCGCCCCTCGCCCCGCCCCCTGGCCTGCCCTCCCGTCCACGGTCCGGCTCCGGCCCGCCCCCGCCCGCCCCCAGCTGAGTCTCTGCCTCGCCTTGGGACGGTGGCCAGTGACCCCGTCACCTCCTTTCTGCTGCTCTCCCCTGTCATGTCGCCTACATCAGCAAATGGCCCCGGGTATAGGAGGTGGAGTGATGTAATGGTGGGTGCTCTGGGTGGGAGGTGGGGCGTTCTGAATTCTGCTGGGCTGCAGCCCTGAGTGTGAATGAAGTTGGGTGAGTGGTGGCACTTCCCGAGCCTCTCTCTTCATCTGTGAGACGGTCAGATGGGCACTCGCTACAGCCACGTCAGAAAGGGGGCAAGTGTCCAGCGCAGATGCTTCTCTTTTTCTTCATCCTCAACCCCAAATCCTTTCCTTGTCTCCCCACCAGGTCTCTCCACATTGCAAGTAACCGCCGTCCTCCCAACTTGCCCAGTAATTTCTGTTTCTCTTGGTAGTATAGCTATTTGGGTCTGTACTATAGCTCTATTAGTGATTGTGAGGTCCTTGAGAGCAAAATCCAATTCAGATTTATTTTTTGTACTCTTGTCTTCTACGTGGTAAGTCTTCAATAAAGATCTGTTGAAGGAATGAATCAAGCTGCTTTAAAACACACCGCAGCTGCCCCAGTGGAAGGCCCGTTATAGGCTCGACCTCGTGACAGATGCTCTGCCTCACATCGTGTCTAAACTGGTAGGGCGTTTACAGCAAGACAAATGATGTCCGGAGAGTTTTGTGACTCCCTGAAGTCACACAGCTTATAAGTAGTGGAACCCTGTTTGAACTCAAGTCTGTCACCCACTGTTTCTCACCAATGCAAAAAAAAACAAAAACAAAAACAAAAAAAACCAAAAACTACTATGTGATCTACATACCAAGGCATTTGGAAAGGAGACAAGATTTTATAGTAACAAAAACAAAAACAAAAAAACCCAAAAACTACTATGTGATCTACATACCAAGGCATTTGGAAAGGAGACAAGATTTTATAGTATTATTTTAAAAAATCGTTTGGCTTTGCCCACATTGTGCTAGATGGCACAAAAGCAATGCTATATCTGTAGCATTGTTTTCTTTGGATTTCTCTTTCCAACTGCTTATCTGATGACTCTTTACCATTTAATACCTCTATATATGCTGCTCCCATTATTTGTAATGATTTTCTCTTTCTTTTCCATTATTCCATTAGGTAAACTCCTGCTTGTCCTTCAAGGCTCAGCCAAATGTCATTTCCTCTTTGAGCCTTCTTTGATTCAGCCTAGTTAAGCAGTTATGGCCATAGCATCTGATTCTATAGCCTGTAGTATAACACACTGTAATTATGGGTTTAATTTTTCTTTCCTCTATATATTCATTTTAGTATTGCCAGGGCATATCATAGCTTCTAGCTCCTAGTATGTGCTCCATATATATCTGTTGAAAAACAAAATAAATAAATGAAACCCAGGCCCAGTTCTGTAGCAGATGATCAGTAAATTATCTGAGAAAAGCTGAACGGTCTTGTTTAGTTTGTTCTCAACCACCCTGGATCTATCTGGGTAAGTATCGAGTAATTATCCATGACTACTTTGGGGTCATGTTTTCTCTCCTTTTTTAGATATGCCAGATTTTGGTAGGGAAGTTGGGGTAGCACTGGGCTTTTCAAATGTTTTCACCATGTAGTCTAAATTGCAGGAGAGAAGGAATGAATAACTCAAGGTAGCTGAATGGCATTTATTTTAAATCTTATGTTTTATGTGGCTTTTTCTTTTTACTCAATAGCATATCTGTTATATAAAAAGAATGCTTGCTTCCATTCACTCCTGAATCTTTGAGAACAATGGATATTCTAGGAAGAATCATTTAATTCAGTACTCCCGTAGGAGGACTGAGCTATCAGTACACTTGGATTTTTCTTCTAATTCTGTCATCTACTGGGGACTTGGTCTTTGGTTTCTTCATCTGTGTGCATTGGGGCAGGGGAGAGGATGATTTGAGTTCACAATCCTAAGGCTCTTCTGGCTCTAAAATGCAAGGAACAAGTGAGCAGCTTCTATAGTATTGCTAATGGAAGGAATTGGATTCTATCTGTTGGCTTCTTATAGCTTGTCTTGGATTGGAAATAAAATCATTTTTATGAAGAAATAAGGTTGTTCATTTGGTATCATAAGGCTGAGCTCTAACCAGCTGAGTTAACCGGCCAGCCCTAGGTTGTTCATTTGGAAGAAAGCTCACAACTGTAATGAGTTTTCATAAAATTTTACTATCTGTGATTAGTATCTATGATTAATTCAGTCGTATCTTAATTATCACCAGTCAGTTCTTGCAATGTACCCATTATAATAAAATCACATTGAGTCATTTGTTATAATCACAAAAGTTTGCTATATTAAAATTTACCTATCCTATCATTAATATGTGACCTACTTAGAGTATTTTTAAATCTGAAGGACTTTGTTTCGTGTAACTATGCTTATAGCTATTTTTGTCACAGAACTTCAAAACAGCATGACCCACAAGGATTGCTAATTACATTTTACTGACAAAATGAAGTTCATGGAATTCCAAGAAGTTTATCCTACCTTAGGGATAGAAAAGTATCTGATACCTCAACTCAGAAATTTCTATAAAACTCTCCAAAGTTTTAGAACCAAAGCTTCTCATATTTTAGGATGTAGCAGTATCATTCACAATGCTTTAGAATCAGAGATTCCTGATACTCCCCTGAAGAGATTCTGATTCAATAGATGTGGAGTGGGGCCCAGGAATCTACATTTTAACAAGATCCCCCATGTAATTTTGGTGCATGGAATCCCCTGAGCACAATCTGAGAAACACAAAAATGGAAATGTTAGGGGCTGGCCAGTTAGCTCAGTTGGTTAGAGCATAGTGCTATAACACCAAAGGTCAAGAGTTTGGATCCCCATACTGGCCAGCTGACAAAAAAAGAGCATAGTGCTATAACACCAAAGGTCAAGAGTTTGGATCCCTATACTGGCCAGCTAACAAAAAAAAAAAAAAAAAGAAGAAGAAAAATGGAAATGCTAGAATTAAATGTGCCTTAGGAAGACAAAGCTCAAGTATTCCTATTAAGGACTTTGAATGAAGCCTAAGAATTTTGATATATTGTTAAAGAAACATGTTGTGTGTAAGCAAATGCATACAAATAAGGGTGTGTGTGTGTGTGTGTGTGTGTGTGTGTAGTGTATAAATGTCTGTAATTATCCAATTGGTTGTATTGCTGAGTATTTTTTTCCTTTTAAGTAACAATCAGTTTACTTATTTTGTTTTATTTATTTTTGGAATGGACAATGTCACAGGATCATGGAACCTATTTTCTTTATGCCTCACTAGGTCAAAAGTCAGTAGCACCTGTTGTCATACTGAGACATTGGAGTTGGAGGAAGTTAGCAAAATAATTAAAAAATCTCAAGTAGAATGGGCAAGATTTTCTGATTCTTGAACACATTCCCTGTTAGTATTATAACTGATACCTCTTCCCCCCTATTTCTTCCCTTTCTCCCAGAAGAAAAGGTGAACATAGGGCAGAAGGAGAAAATTATGTGTAAGAGAAAAGAATATAGTTACATCTCTGAGCTGTTCACCTTGCTATCTGGTATAACAAAACAAAACAAAACAAAACAAAA